AGGCTAGTGATGTTCAGCCTCAGCTGTGCACTAGAATCACCTGGGGAATTTTTTAAAGCCTGATACTTAGGCCTCACCTCAGACCAATTGTGTCAGAATCTCTGGGGTATGGCCTGAACAATAATAAATCTTTGAAGCCCCCCAAGTCATCCCAATGTGCATTCAAGCAGTACCCAGCCCCAAGTCAGTATTAAAAGCCTCAAGACAGATGCTTGTGGAAAACGGGAACTTGTGAAGTTCAGAGAGTGGAAGTAACTTGCCCAAGGTCACACAGCAAGGTGGTGGCAAAACCAGCCCTGGAACCCAGGCCTTCTTCCTGAACCTGGGCCAATTTCTCTCCTGAAGTTGCATCTCCTTTTACAAACTGGAGCCCAGGCAAGTAATGCCCACAGTATTTCACTTTAATAATGTTGGAACCTGGTACAGTCAGGGCCAGCACAGTGATGGGGAGGGAGCTATACGATGGCGATTAGCAGAGCTGTAAGTCTTTCGCTCTATCCAAATCTTGGGCTGTAATTTAGGAAATTTAATTAAAGGGGGAGAAATGGGGACACCTCAAGCTCCTTGCCTCCTGTTATAATGAGTGAAATACACCGGGCTGTAAAAGGAAATGCTGTCTGAGACACAGCTCCGATGTTTTATTGCCAAGTTTTATTCGCTGATGTAAACGTAATCGCTGGAAACTGGAGCTCTATTAACGCACATATTTTCACACATCCGTGGCCCCACCTGCCCTCCCCCTCCCTCTGGGTTTGTTCACCCACCTCCTGGGATCCGCCCTGGTGCTTTCTGGGCATGTCTACTAAAGCCTGGATTTCCCTGCTGGTTTCATACCCTCCCATGGCAGATAAGAGTTTAATAGAATTCCATTGCTCCTCTGAGCTCAGTAATGCATTCTGGAAATTAGGTGGCTACATACTGAAGCCATTGTTCCCCCTTATAAATGGGATCCCTTGGAGCCAGTGACCGTGGGGTCTCTGATAAGCTCTCACGAAGCCCAGCTCCACATGTTATTGGTGTGTTAAAAGGTGCAACTCTGGGCTCACATTGCTTATTGTTAGGAGCTGATACATTTAAGTAGTTTCTCCATGAATCAGGCAGCTTAGGTATTTCCCCCCTCTTGGCATTGATAGATGAGCGAAAGGAAGCCATTTAGACGGCACTATATAGGGCCCTGGCCCACACAGTGAATGATTTCCAATGCCTGGTTTAATTTATTTTTAAATGAAATTTGTTATTGATTCTGGATTAAAAGGACAAATCTTATGGCTGTTACCACTGACAGAGCCATGGTGCTCAAGTGACACCTTTCAAGGAGGGAAGTGAGGGAGGCCTCCCTGAGTCAAATGGAAGATGGAGACTCTCCAGGGAGCTTGGGTCAGAGGTCCCGGACAGTGCAAGATCTCCTGCTTGGGGAAACTTTAAAAAGATTGTCTTCTGCAACTGAAATACCTGGCATTATGTTCACCTTCTGAGCCTCACTTGGGTAATGGAAATAGCAGTGCTAGTTGCCTCATGGCAGCCACGTGACCACTAAAGCCTTGTTTAATTGCCTCCAGAGATGGGAGGTTTACTATCTCCTGTGGCATTCCCACAGTGAAATGAGTGACTAGAGTCACCCACCCTAGTGAATTCCTAGAGACTCATTGTCCTGGAACAGTCTTCAGTTACCTCCTGCCTCCACTGTTACCTTTTATCTCCCATGGTGCCTGCAGTTTGCATTTGGATTAGTGAGGCAAAAGAGAGATCAAATTACACAAGGGAGGAATATGGGTGGAGGATTGGTCCTTTCACATCCTGCCTCTGCTCTGCCTCTGCTCTGCCTCACTGTGCAACCTTGGGTAGGTTACTTCATCTCTCTGAGCTTCAGTTTCCTTATCTGTAAAAGAAGGAGGGTAATAATAGTTGCCTCAGGGACTGTTGTATGAATTAAACGAGCTCATGGATGTGAATGTGATTTATAAACTGTAAAGTACAATTTAAGTGTGGCAGGAAATGCAAATGGGACAGCATAGCATAGTGGGAGAGCCCTGAGCTGGGAGGCAGAGGATCTGGATCTGGTTCCATCACGGCTGGCTGTGAGACTCTGAGGGGGTCGTCACTCACCTGCTTTGGGCTGTAGTTTCCTAAACTGTAAAGAGGGCAGGTTGAAACAGATGTGCTTAGGTATTATGCTGAAGAGCCTGGGCTCTGGAATCAAACATATCATGCCTTTACAACTGCCTTGCTGGGTGACATTGGGCAAGGTACATAACCTCTCCAAGCATCTGTCTCCTTACCTGTAAATAATAATTGTACTAATTGATAATAGCCAACATGTATCATGTACTTACTATGTGCCAGGCACTGTTCTAAGTTCTTTCCATGTAGCAAGTCATTTAATCCTCACAATAATCTTGTGACTGAGGTATTATCTTTATTTTACAGATGAAAGGCACAGAAAGGCTAATAACTTGTCTAAGGTCACACAGCAAGCAAGTGGCAAGCTTCAAAACCAAAGGCCACACATTTCTACCCTATATGGCCTAGTTGTTCTGAGGATTAAGTGGGATAATTGAATTTCTTAGCACAGTGCTGGACAGTGATGGGCTGGGGGACTGGGAGAAGGCAGCAGGCATTTCTTCCTGTGGGGAGACTCAGACTGGGCCTTGGCCACTGGAAGACGCAGCTAGACAGAGGGGAAAGTGTGCAAGTAGAGGGGGAGCACTAGAAAGGGTCAGGACATGATGAAGCTAGGGCATATTCAGGGAGGGAACATGGAGGGAACAGTGCCTGAAGCAGAGAATTTGTGCAGGAGGTGAGGCTGGGACTTGGGATGCAAACCAGAGAAACCAGGATTTCTCTAAGAAACAAGGCCATTGGAGGGTTCTGAGCAGAGAAGCTAGAGCGTGGGTTGTAAAATCCCTAGAGGTTCGTTCCTGAAGGAAACTTAGAGGTTACTGGGTTTAACCCCGCTCCAGACTGTTAGGAGAAAGGACTCCTGGAGGCCAGCAGTGGGTCAGTGACGGAGCGGCAGTAGGCTGCTGTCCCACCCTGGCCTCCCTACATGGAGTTCTGTTTACTCTTCTCTCTTCTAATCTCACTCCCTGACCCCTGGTCTGTGCCCCGCCCTCCAGTCTGTGGGTTAAGAGGTGAAAGTGATGGGCTGGAGCCCCAGCTCCTCCTACACATTCTTCTGGAGAGGACTCAGACTGGGACTGACAGAGCCCCGGGTTTCAGTCTTGGTGCTGCTCTGTGATCTTGAAGGTTTTGTTTCTTCATCTTTATAATGGGGGCAACGGAGCCCATATTGCATTGCCATTTCTAAGAAACAAGAAAACGTTTTTCTGAGTCCAAGACGCCTCCTGGCCATTCCAGGATAGCCTAGATACCACTTCTGTGTGGGAAGGACGTGAGAACAAGTGAGTTAATCAGGCAAAAACAGCCCCTTCCTCCACTGAACGGGCCTGAAGCAGCTGGGAAGACGGCGGGATCTGTCCGCGGCGCTGAAGGCAGCGCGGCGCCGCCGGTCCTATGGGGGCTGTCAGTTGTGCTGAAACACAGTATTTGTAAGTGAGCGACACTCCAGGGGGCTGTCCATAGTTTTGAATGAACTCGATTGCTGCTGGCGACCACAGGCCATCCTTTGTGCTGCCCTCCACAACACTGAAAAGGGGGATGCGAGGACAGAGTAAAGGCAGGCCTGGGGTACTGTCCCACGGGCTCTAATCTCATTCAAACTTGGGGCGCTGTCCACCAAACCTGTGGTCTGGTGAGGGGTGTGGGCTGTCTGCGGGGCTGACTCCCATTCAGCGGGGCTGGGGGTGAAATCGGGAGGTCAGTCCAAGGCGCTGAATCCTCTTATCGAAGACCCCGCCAAGACGCGGTCGGGGAGGCTGAAAAAATGAGCGTCGCGGTTGGCGCTGTCCTCGCCCGTGGTGCTGAAACCTCGTCGTCAGAGCTGTGTCTGAAACGAGGCCTGGAAACAACCATTAGTGAAAGCGGGACGGACCCCGGGAGGGACCCCGCCCCCCGGGAGGGACCCCGCCCAGGAGCCAGGGACTTCGCCTCAGACTCCCTGAGGGACCTCGCAGAAGCTACTTCCCTTACGTAATGTCCTTCCTCATCTTTTAAATGAGGCCACAGGTCCTCCCTCGCATCTCTACTGGTTTGTCCCAACATCCCCAGTAAAAAGCTCAGCGAAGGAATGGATCTCGCTGGATTCCTGCTCTTGGGAATGAGAGTGGCTTCATTATGCAGGCCAACATTCCATGTAGGCCCGTCGGTCCGAGGAAGGGAGCCTTACAGTCCAGAAGGGGGCGATCCAAACCACTGTGCAGGGCCCAGCATCTCTAAGCTAGAAGGAGCCCCAGCAACTGACCAGCTTGGCTTCCATTATAGAGACACAAAAACTAAGTCCCAGAAAGGGGAACAACAACAGTAAAAATTATTGAACTCCTACCACGAGGGTGGCATTATGCTAAGAGCTTTACATATCGATTTCCTAAATCCTCGCCACGACCCCTGGAAGTAGCTCGTTCTCATTTTTCACATGAAGATCTTGAGACTCAGAAGGGGCGAGACACCCGGACACGATCACACAGGGAGCCAAAGGCTGCGGCAGGGCTATAACCAGGTCTCCTGTGCCTCAGCCTAGGTTCCTACCCTCAGTCTCACCTCGACCCCCACCTCCACCTGCTCCCCCACCCCCCGACCCTGGCACCGCCCTGCTCGCAAAGTTGAGGAGTTTCTCTGAGCGTGCGGGGTCTGGCGGCATGTGGATGGGCTTTTCTCCTTATCCTGCTGGATAGTATTTGTTTCTGAAGCCAGTTGTGTTACGCTTTGCGGGTCTGGCTTCCTGCGGTGGCTTCCTGCACCCCATCTCGCCCCACACCTGCGCTCTCGGACGGGGAAAGTTGAGGGTACCGCTTTAAAAATCCCAGCCTGGGCAAAACTTTGATGATAAATCAAGCGGCAGATCCCTCCGCCGCCGCCTCCTCTGGGCGGGCGGGGGTGCGGCGGCACGGCACGAGCGGAGTGGCCTTCCGCGGAAGGCAAGAGTCCCGCAGTCGGAGGCGGCCGGCCGGGCGTGCGCTCGCTCCCCGCAGCCGGGGTTGGGCCTGAGCCGGGCGAGGGCTGGGGCCGGGGCCGGGCTGGGTTCAGCGGCAAGGGCAGCGGCCGGAGCTGGGCAGCCAGGCCGCATCGGGCAGGGAACGGCGGGCGCGGGGTCTACGGGTTCCTGAGCCCCGATGTGAGGCGGCGGCGCCCCCGGCCCGAGCGCGCACCATGGGGGCCCCGCTCGCTGTGGCGCTGGGCGCCCTCCACTACCTGGCACTTTTCCTGCAACTCGGCGGCGCCACGCGGCCCGCCGGCCACGCGCCCTGGGACAACCACGTCTCCGGCCACGGTGAGTTCGGTCGCCACCCCGGCAGACTTCCCCATCAAACCCCACGCCCGGCCGCGCCGCTCCTACTTGGCCAGCCCCGGGCTCGAACCCTCACGACCGTGGCGGGCGTCCCGGGGCGCCCCCTGCCGGGTGCATGGAGCCACCCTTGCCCCCTGGCCACTCCTGAGGCGGGCACCCCTTGTGCACCCCGATCCCACTCTCACAGGGAAAACCCTCCCCACACACACATTCGTGCGGATCCCACACCTCCATGACCACACAGCTATTCACAGGCACTGCCACACTAAGAGCCACACAACCTGTTTTCTCACACTCACAACTCCTACCTCACACATCTCCAGACACCTCTTCACAACCCCCTCCACACTCATAAACACTCACACTTATGCCCACTACAGACACATCAGGCACTGTGGCTGGTGGGCTCTCACCCTGCCAGCTGGCACCCTGGCGCACACACTGCACAACTCTTGTCTGCCTGCCTGCCCGCAGACACACGGACAACACACACACACATGCATACACTTGTGAACACACTTTGCTTGCCCACCTGCCTTTCTCTTTTGTGGATTTAACTCCAAGGCTGCCCTTGTCTCCTCCCTCTCCACATCTGCCCCTTCAGCCTCTGGGAAAGCTCCTGGGGGACAGAAGATCCCACCTTGAGAGCTAGTAGCCTGGGGCTGCAGGTGCCACTATCGGGTGGGTGGCCTCTCAGGGATTAAGGCTTGCTGGAAGCCCCTTGAAGACACTGGAGTAGTTGGGATTGCTGCTTCCAGCCAGAGGCATGGAAGGGGAAGAGGGATGCTAGGTGCCTTTGTCTTTCCCTGGGGGTGGGCAGGAAGCCCCTGCCATCCTTCTGTAGGGTACCTACCCGTCTCATCCTCAATCCCAGAAGACTGAAAGGTGAGAAATCTCTACTCAGCCTCTCAGCCTCAGTGGAACTGGGGAGCAAGCAGGCGTTCCCAGCACGGGTTGCCCAAGTGTCAGAGCTCCTTCTAGCCTGAAAGGAGCCCAAGTTGGCAGTAGAGCTGGACTGTCTGGCAGTATGGGGACTCCCCCTGCCCACTGTGAGCCAGGCTGTGATAATGGAGTCCAGGGCATCGATGAAAAGGGAGACCCTTCCTCCATCCACCTATTTCCTGCAGGGACTCTGAGTCTGGTGGGGCAGGCTGCAGCACCAGTGCTGGGCACTGTGTGCCCGGGGCTGGGGGGAGGTTTGCCCAAAGGGCAGGCGACTGGGTGATTGATTCTGTTGGGAAAGAGTGAGGGCTGTGGGGATAGTAGGTAATCAGAGAAGGCTTTGCTGGGATGTGATGTTTGAGGGCGTTGCTCCAGCGGGTAAGGGGGCTTCCAAAGCCCTTCTCAGGGTCTCTGCTTTTTGGTAATCATGACTCCCTGTACCCTTCTACCTTACCATGTGTGATAGTAAGTGTTCTGTGTATTATTTATGCACCCTTCTTATCCCTCATCTAATTTCTACTGACCTAGCTGAAGCAGTGGTAAATGGGGAAGGGAAGGGTTATTTTTATCCTTAATTTACAGATGGAGAACTCAAGACTCAGAGAGGTGAAGGGACTTGTCCAAGGTCACACAGCAAGTGAGTGGTTGAGCCAGGACTGGCTCCAGGGTCTGTTAGGAAAAGACAGTGCTTTTTCCAGGACGTTTATCTCCCTGTCAGATTCCCTCCTATTCAAGGGAAACTGGGAATTCCTCCTTCCGCTCCCCTTCTCTCTCTGCTCAGCTCCTTGGCACAGATGGAACTTACACTAGGAAGGTTTTCCAAGGAAGGGCTTTCCTCAGTTTGCTGTCTTGAGAGATTCAAAGATTGGGGTTCTGAGGTTCACAGAGCACCAGACCCTAAGGATTTGGGTGCTCTTCTGTCATTCCTGAGGCCCTGGGGTGGCTCCCTATAGCAAAGCAGGGCTTGCCCTTTGTGCGGCAGTCTCTGCCTGCCCCCCTGGTGCCAGGTGTGCTTAGGGACACAGCTCTGTCCCGCCAGCGGTAATGTCCCTCCACACCCTGGAGAGGCCCAGCTAAGGCCCAGCAGAGGGGCTAGATGGAAAGGGCAGGGCTGCAGTGGCGAGGGAACCTGGCTTCTCTCAGTGACCCTCTGTGCGGTTCTGGGCGATCGAGTCACGCCTCTGGGGCTCCTTCTGTCCCTCAAGAAATGAGGAGGCTGGGCTGCTCTGCAGGGGCTTGACTGTCTTTTCCTAGCATTGCCAGGTTCAAAGTCACCAAGTAGTGGATGCCAAGGAGCCCCCACACTGCCCCTCTGCTGGGCCAAGTGCCTGCCACCACAGGAAAGGTTTGGAGCCACTCACTTAATCACAAAAAGAAACTGTTATTAATGATAGTGAGACACGGCGAATAAGTGGGTCATGTCTAATAAGCCATTTGTGTTCAGGAGGAGAATACCAATTTGATAAAAGCTGTGTGTGCTGAAAAAGCCCAGAAATTGCTGTTTAGCAGATTGGAGCCTGGTCGTTTCATTATTCCTGGGCTCCGCGTGTCCTCAGCTGATTCAGGAAATGTGGCTGGGATAGGGAAGTGTCTGTATGTCTGGGAATGAGGGTGGGAGTCTGGGAGTGGGGCCTTCTGGAGAGGTGTACACTGACCCCAAATGTTTGGCGGCTGCTCACCTCTTCAGCTCGATCTGAGCCCAGCTGCCAGGCTAACGCCTTCTGTCCACATGCCCCAGGGCTTGTCACAGGTAGAGCCTTCAGTCAGATGGGTCTGCAAGGACATCTGTCTCACTTCCCATCTCCCTGCTACCTCCACTCAGCCCAGCCAGAGGGCTTTTTAGAGGCAGGAGGAGTGAATGGAGAGTGTGCACGCCTCTTAGGGAGGCATCAGGAATTGGGAGGCTGCGATGATGATGGTCAGTGTTTGCACCTAGTTGATACTCAATTAGTGGCAGCTATTTTGATTATTCCTTATAGAAAAGGTTAGCTCATTGCCATGAGTACAGTAAGGGTGGGAAGAAAAGGAGCTGACATTTTTGAAATGCCTACTGTGTGCTAGTTGCTGCCAAACCCTTTGCCAGTGTTAATTCCTTAAGGTGACATTATTCATGCAAGGCTGGTGTTAGGCATATGAGGAAACTGAGGTTCAGAGAAGGCCAATGACTTGTCCAAGGTTGCTGAGTCTACAGAGAGCGGGAAAGCTGTTCCTAGAATTGAGGTGTGTGTGGCAGTTCTGGGCCTGACTCCTCCAGGACAGTCACATGACATGACTTCTTCCTCTGTACAGCTCTAAGTGCATTCCCTCCCAGCTCCCCAGAGAACTAGTAAAGCAGTGAGTCCCACCAAGAGGAACCAGTAGCTCAGAAAAGTGACAGGAATTTGCTATGGCCACATGCAAGTTAGGAAAAGGCAGCTGGGCAGGCCTCCTTCGCCAGGACTCTTTCCAGAGCTAGTCCAGGGCAAGGGTCTGGAAGGCAGGAGCTTTGTGAGGGTCTTTGCAGACCTCCTGCCTGGGAATCACCCAGAGACTTAGTTACAATGCAGATTCCAGAGTCCTCTCAGACCCACTGACCAAATGATTGTTGATTAGACCCTGGAATCTGCATTTTAATAGGCTCCCCAGATGATTCCCCCAGCAGCCTGGAGCTTGGGAGCCACTTAAGTATTCACCAGTACCTGATGAGACCTGTAGGGATGGGAATTTGTCAGGTTGCCAGGGGCTGCTGGGCTGGTTTGGATTTGCGAGAGGGAGCGCTCCAGACTGAAGCAGGTTTGTGGACCCCGAGAGGAGCGAGAGGAGCCCCAGGAAGCTTACACTGCAGCAAACATCCGTCCTCCCACTCCTGCCCTGCCACACACACGCCCCCCCACACAGGCCAGCATCTTCAATTATTAATACACCCCAATGCAGGCAGAGATCCTGGCTGGGACAGGCGCTTTGTCCATTGAGTGATTCACTGTCCTGAGATTCTCTGTTGCCAGGAGGGAGCAGTGGGGTGCCGAGGGAGGGGGCGGGAGCCTCTGGCCGCTGGGCCATTTGGCAAACAGCCTGAGCACTAAAAAATGACTCTGGCTTTCTTGTGTTCCTTACCAAACTGTGGGTATCTCACCATCAATAAGCGGGCTAGTTTGGTGGCTGGGAGCTGGAGAAAACTGAGTGCTGTCTTCCGAAGGTTATGATGTTAAAAATGTCTTCGCTGTTGTCTGGGGTGTTGCTGACTATTCTATCAATTACGTCCATAAACACTCCGCCTTGGGCTGAGTGTTTCCCGGCCTCCTGTGGGGAATTGGCCCTCACAAGCGGTTTTCTCCAGGTCCTTCACACCAATTGGTTTTGACACCTTGTGTATCAGTGGCTCCTGCGGCCTTTTCCCCAAGCTTGGGGAGCCGCAGGCGGCCAGCAGGACAGGAATTCGGCTCATCGCCACGGTGACAGCAGGGGTGTTGGGAGAAGTCTCCCATGACAAACAAGAAGCAGGGTCCGGGGTGCCTGGAGAAGGGTCCCTTCCGACCCACCAGCCACCAGAGCAGGAGATGGAGGGGAAAACCAAGGCCACCCACGGGCAAGGCCGCATTGGACCAAACTGCCTGGGAGGTTAGCACTTGGCTTTTGGAATCACGTTGCCCAAGGCCACTACCTAGCAAGCTTTGGAACCTGGATTTGAACCCAGGAATTCGGCGCTGGGCCCCAGGCTCACTATGTTGTTGAGTCCCAGAGAGGAGGAGGGAGAGACCTGAGGTCACAGGGGGACAAAAGGTGGGCTGGGGCTCAACAGCTGGCCGAGTACTGGAAGGAGTACAGTGGCCTCCACACTCCACACCCAGGGGCCGTGCGGCAGCCCCCAGACCAGGCTACCACCTTGGGCACCTTCCAATTTCCCTTGCAGGCTGAGAAAATCAAATGGGTGGGAAGAGGAGGTGTGGGGCAGGAACAGTGACCTAGGTGCCCACTTCGGGGTAAGTGTCAGAAAGAGGAGGGAGAAGGTGGCGGCGTGAGGCAAGCCCGCTCCCTGGTGCCTAGCGACCACCTGGGACTTC